ATGGTGCCGCATTCTCCTTGGTTGGTGCTGCTTAACTCAACACAGAGTTAAAGGAGCTATCCCACTCCACCTCAACTCTGTAAAGGAGGCATGCTCGAAGATCCACAGTGTAACATGGCTAATGGTGCCACATTGTCCTTGGTTGGGGCTGCTTAACTCAACACAGAGTTAAAGGAGCTATCCCACTCCACCTCAACTCTGTAAAGGAGGCATGCTCGAAGATCCCCAGGGGAGAATGGCCAACGGTGCCACGTTGCCCTCACTTGGGGCTATTTAATTCAACACAGTTACAGGAGCTTCCCCACTCCGCCTCAGCTCTGTAAAGGAGGTATGCTTGAGGTTCCCCACGGAAAGCATGGCCAAGGGTGTGGAATTCTCCAGGATTGGGGCTGCTAAACTATACAGAGAGGTAGAGGCGTTTTCTCACTTCACCTCAGCTCTCTAAAGGAGGCATGTTGGGAGATCCCCAGGGGGAACATGGCTATCAGTACTGTACTCTCCCAGTTTGGGGCCACTTAACGCCGCATAGATGAACAGGAGCTCTACTACTTCACCTTACTTCCATAAAGGAAGCATGCTCGAGGATCCCCGGGGGAGCATGGTCAATGGTGATGCATTCCCCTTGCTTGGGGCTGCTTAACTCAACACAGAGGTACAGGAGCTGTCCCGTTCTGCCTTAACTCTGTAAAGGAGGCATGCTCGAAGATCCCCAGGGGAGCATGGCCAATGGTGCCGCATTCTCCTTTGTTGGTGCTGCTTAACTCAACACAGAGTTAAAGGAGCTATCTCACTCCACCTCAACTCTGTAAAGGAGGCATGCTCAAAGATCCCCAGGGGAGAATGGCCAATGGTGCCACGTTCCCCTCACTTGGGGCTATTTAATTCAACACAGTTACAGGAGCTTCCCCACTCAGCCTCAGCTCTGTAAAGGAGGCATGCTTGAGGTTCCCCATGGAAAGCATGGCCAAGGGTGTGGAATTCTCCAGGGTTGGGGCTGCTAAACTATACACAGAGGTAGAGGAGTTTTCTCACTTCACCTCAGCTCTCTAAAGGAGGCATGTTGGGAGATCCCCAGCGGGAACATGGCTATCAGTACTGTACTCTCCCAGTTTGGGGCCACTTAACGCCGCAAAGATGAACAGGAGCTCTACTACTTCACCTTACTTATATAAAGGAGGCATGCTCGAGGATCCCCAGGGAAGCATGGCCAATGGTGATGCATTCTGCTTGCTTGGGGCTGCTTAACTCAACACAGAGGTACAGGAGCTGTCCCATTCTGCCTTACCTCCGTAAAGGAGGCATGCTCAAAGATTCGCAGGGGAGCATGGCCAATGGTGCCGCATTCTCCTTGGTTGGTGCTGGTTAACTCAACACAGGGTTACAGGAGTTGTCCCACTCCGCCACAGCTCTGTAAAGGAGGCATGCTTGAAGTTCTCCCAGGAACATTTTCCACCCCATATATTGTTATTTCACTTCAGAGGTCCCCCATCATATCAGATCAGAGGTTAGATATGTCAGGGGGCATTTCAACATGCAGTGAATATATATAATCTATTCAGTCGTATTTGACCCTTGGCGATTGCATGGGCCGTCACTCGTAAGCGACTTTTTCCATGAATTCTCTTAGCAATTATTTTACAGGGTAGGTTACCAGGTCTTTCCCCAACCCCTACCATGCAGGAGATCCCGCATGGCCAGGGATGAAACTAGGACAATTTAGACAGGAGCCAATTAACCGAGCAGCATGTCTTTGGAGTGTGGGAGGAAACTGGAGCAGCAGGAGGAAACCCATGCAAGCACAGGGAGAGCATGCAAACTCCATGCAGGAGGCACCATGGTTGGGAATTGAACCCATGACCTATTTACTGCAAGGCAGACGTGCTAACCACTAAGCCACTGTGCCATATATATATATAATTGAAATATATTGAATATGGCCAAAATTATAGTATTTCAAATATATTTTTCTTCCATGTGGGAATAAAGTGCATTAGAATTCACGATTTAGCGTAGGGAGTGCCATCCTTCAGAATAAAGCTTGGCTAGAAAGTCGCGCATTGTACGGAATCATCCCACTTCCATAATGACCAATACTCGGTGAAGGGCCTGCAGAGACTAGAACAGCGATAGCCATCAATCACCACTTGAGGGGAAATGGTGTCCCACCTAATGATGTAAGAGTCAGCTCGGGCTGAACAAATTAGTCCTCTGGGCATACGGTGTACGGCCACGTGCGGCCTAAATACACGTGTGTACTTAACACGTTTCACCGCTGTTGCGGCTTCTTCTACTGGAAGCGATTAAATTTTTGTAACTCAATAATATCTGTTGACATATGATGAGAAAATAAAGTTTTTCAATATATCAGTACGCTACAGGGTCTAATTATAAAACGCTCACTGTACGGATGTCAGAAACATGCCTGCAGGCTGAAGGAAATTTCCCAGTATGCTTTCTAATAGATTCATTCCTGTACCATCAGCACCATCTAGTGGCCAAAATGTGGTCAATTTTCTCTTTGAGGTATTTCAGAAAACTATGCCGCATTTTTGCCACTGGATGGGGCTGATGATACTGGAATTCATCTATTAGACAGCATATGGTGAAATTTCCCCCGGCTCGCGTGAATGTCCCAATTCTTTTTTCATCTTGAGTACTGTATGGGAGGGTTCTGGGATTCCGTGTGGTCCTGGGATTTTTGCTCACCGTTCTTGTGATCATTTTGACCCCACAGGGTGAGATCTTGCGTGGAGCCCCAGATCTAGGGAGTGCCAACATTTCTCCCTGGTTAGATGAACTCTTCCAATTGGCTGACAAAGATATCCATTGGAGAGGTCCTCTACGGGCCCTGAAGATGTTTGCTGGAGGTGTTACGACGTCATCACAAGGCACAGGATATAAGACTGGTCTCCAGTGATGGATCATTGGTCTCTACTGATAGAGAGAGAAGCTATGGAGGATCATGAGATGCAAGCCAGGACTCCAGTGATGGATCATTGGTCTCTACTGATAGAGAGAGGAGCTATGGAGGATCATGAGATGCAAGCCAGGACTCCAGTGATGGATCATTGGTCTCTACTGATAGAGGAGGAGCATGAGATGCAAGCCAGGACTCCAGTGATGGATCATTGGTCTCTACTGATAGAGGAGGAGCTATGGAGGATCATGGATGCAAGCCAGGACTCCAGTGACTCCAGTGATGGGTCATTGGTCTCTACTGATAGAGGAGAAGCTATGGAGGATCATGAGACGCAAGCCAGGACTCCAGTGATGGGTAATTGGTCTCTACTGATAGAGGAGAAGCTATGGAGGATCATGAGAAGCAAGCCAGGACTCCAGTGATGGATCACTGGTCTCTACTGATAGAGGAGGAACCATGGATGATCATCAGACGCAAGCCAGGACTCCAGTGATGGATCATGGGTCTCTACTGATAGAGGAGGAGCTATGGAGGATCATGAGACGCAAGCCAGGACTCCACTGATGGATCATTGGCCTCTACTGATAGAGAAGGAGCTATGGAGGATCATGAGACGCAAGCCAGGACTCCAGTGATGGTCATTGGTCTCTACTGATAGAGGAGGAGCTATGGAGGATTATGAGACGCAAGCCTGGACTCCAGTGATGGATCATTGGTCTCTACTGATAGAGGAGGAGCTATGGAGGATCATGAGAAGCAAGCCAGGACTCCAGTGATGGATCATTGGTCTCTACTGATAGAGGAGGGACCATGGATGAACATCAGACGCAAGCCAGGACTCCAGGGATGGATCATGGGTCTCTACTGGTAGAGGAGGAGCTATGGAGGATCATGAGACGCAAGCCAGGACTCCAGTGATGGATCATTGGCCTCTACTGATAGAGAAGGAGCTATGGAGGATCATGAGACGCAAGCCAGGACTCCAGTGATGGATCATTGGCCTCTACTGATAGAAGAGGAGCTATGGAGGATCATGAGACGCAAGCCAGGATTCCAGTGATGGGTCATTGGCCTCTACTGATAGAGGAGGAGATATGGAGGATCATGAGACGCAAACCAGGATTCCAGTGATGGATCATTGGTCTATACTGATAGAGGAGGAGCTATGGAGGATCATGAGATGCAAGCCAGGACTCCAGTGATGGGTCATTGGTCTCTACTGATAGAGGAGAAGCTATGGAGGATCATGAGACACAAGCCAGGACTCCAGTGATGGGTCATTGGTCTCTACTGATAGAGGAGAAGCTATGGAGGATCATGAGAAGCAAGCCAGGACTCCAGTGATGGATCACTGGTCTCTACTGATAGAGGAGGAACCATGGATGATCATCAGACGCAAGCCAGGACTCAAGTGATGGATAATGGGTCTCTACTGATAGAGGAGGAGCTATGGAGGTTCATGAGACGCAAGCCAGGACTCCAGTGATGGATCATTGGCCTCTACTGATAGAGAAGGAGTTATGGAGGATCATGAGATGCAAGCCAGGACTCCAGTGATGGATCATTGGCCTCTACTGATAGAGGAGGAGCTATGGAAGATCATGAGATGGCAGACTCCAGTATGTCAATAAAGGGTTTGGAGAATTAAAAAATGCATGAATGGTTAAGGGAGGGGGTTGAGAGGGATTGGGGAAATTGGAAAGAATCAGTAACAAAAGCACTGAACCAATAGTGGTGATCCTAGAGGAGAGGGACAATGGTTGCGTCTACAGTCTCCATTGATAAAAATCTGGCCCTGACAAAACAGGAGCATCACATCACATTCCTTGACATCTCCACGGGCTCTTGAATGGTCTGTTTTGCCCAGCAAGACATTTTTATACCTCTCTACGGTGGTTGAATTGTAGAGACAGCCCTGTGCCAAGATTTGCATACTGTGTGTCTACATTTACTCCAGGAATAGGGAAAATCTCCTCTGGACATAGTCGGTGGTTTAAGAGCCTCTACAGAAATATGAAATCACTACTGACCTGTTATTATCGAAGATCTCAAATCCATAAATATCCAGAACACCAATCACCGTATTCTTGCCATGAATCCTGGCATCGTAATTCTTCACCTCAATAATGCTGTTGATACGCCCAACAATCCAACAGAAAAGCCTTTCGTAGAACGCCTGCGAAGAGTACAGAATGAGGGATCAGAGCAAGATCAGAGTGAGGTCGGACTGATGTCAGAGCAAGGTCATGGTCAGGACAGAGGAAGGCCATATTGAGGTCAGAGCAAGATCATGTTAAGGTCAGCAAAAGGTCATAGTGAGGTCAGAGGAAGATCATGGTGATGTCAGAGTGAGGTCATGGTAAGGTCAATGCAAGGTCATAATGAGGTCAGAACAATATCAGGTCAAGGTCATGGTAAGATCATAGTGAGTTCAGGGGAAAGTCAGACTGAGGTCAGGGTAAGGTCAGCATGAGGTCATAGTGAGATCACAGCAAGGTCAGAGTGAAATCGTACTAAGGTCAGAGAGAGGTCAGTGAGATCAGAGCAAGGTCAAAGAGAGGTTAGAGTGAGATCAAAGAAAAGTCAGAGCAAGGTCAAAACATGGTCAGAATAAGGTCAGGGTAAAGTCAGAGGTCAGTGTGGGGTCAGGATGAGGTCACAGTAGGGTCATAGTGAGGCCAGAACTAGGTCAGAGCAAGATTAGAGTGGGGTCATAGTCATAACAGGGTGAGGTAAAAGAAAGGTAGGAATGATGTCAGTGGGAGATCAGGGTGAAGTCAATTTTGGGTCAGAATTAGATCCTAGGATGGTCAAAGTAAAGTCAGAGTAAGTTTTAGAGTGGGGTCATAGTGCAGTCAGAGCGAGGTCAGAGTAAGACCAGAGTGAGTTTAGAATGGAGTCAAAATGAGGTCAGAGTGAGGTCAGTAGGGGTCAGAATGAGGTCATAGTAGGGTCATAGTGAGGCCAGAACAAGGTCAGAGCAAGGTTAGAGTGGGGTCATAGTCATAACAGGGTGAGGTAAAAGAAAGGTAGGAATGATATCAGTGGGAGATTGGGGTGAAGTCAATTTTGGGTCAGAATTAGGTCCTAGGAGGGTCAAAGTAAAGTCAGAGTAAGTTTTAGAGTGGGGTCATAATGAGGTCAGAGCAAGACCAGAGTGAGTTTAGAATGGAGTCAAAGTGAGGTCAGAGTGAGGTCAGAGTGAGGTCAGTAGGGTCAAAGTGAGGTCAGTAGGGGTCAGAATGAGGTCAAAGAAGGGTCAAATTAAGGTCAGAGTGAGTTTAGAGTGGGGTCTTAGCGATGTTATAGCGAGATCTGAGTAGGGTCAAAGTGGTGTCAGAAGGAGGTTAGAGTGGGTTGGGTTTGAACAGTCGCTGGTCGGCACTGTCCACAGTACAAGGTTGGGACATTATCTCCTCTATCTCCATTCTCTCTGAAAATCATACCCTATTACTCTTTGCCTTCACCCTCTTCAAGAAAGTCTGGGGAGCCCAAAACTCACAGTGTTCTAACCTGCTGAATCCAGTTCTTCCTCAAAGTGTCAGAGTTCACCAGCTTGTCCCGGACATTCCACTCATCATGGTGACCTCTCATGCTTCCATACAATTTTCTTGTAGTAGAACTGCTGAAGTGACCTCTTCAGCAATATTATCAGTTGTAATAAATCAAAAGAGATCTCTGAGCTTAATAAATCCAAGTCATGGTCAATTGCTGACCTTTAACCTCAACAGAACCCCAAAATGTAAACATAATAATTCTGACCAATAGACCTGGACCTTACCCCTAACACTAACCCTTAACCTTGGGAGCATAGCGACTATATCATGAATTTCTCACATTGCTTCTGTTAGGTCACCTGACTACCGATCACAATTATTTGTTTTTTATATAGCATGAAGTATATTGCACCCCCAACAAAGTAATACAATAAAAAGTAATAAAGTAATATTATCTCTTTCCCCATGGATAGCCAAACTCCAGAAAGCCACCCAGCTCATACACTGGAGCGCCAACCCACAGCATCAAGGCCAGAGTCGGCTCTCCATGGACCATAGAATAAACTGCCTAAAAGTCCCAGTTCCCTAATCAATTACTCCACAATCTGGACCTCCCTATATCTCCTCATCAGTCTCCAGGGATTGCCCCGATATAGACATGACCTCCTCTTCTCTCTACTCCTCTCCCTCCTCACAGAACTTCTCTCACTTGACCTTCCCTAGGAATTCCTCCAATCTCTCTTTCTTTCCACTTCTCTCCCACCTCACAGGACCTCTCATGATTTGACCATCCCCAGGAATTCTCCATACCTCAGCTTTTCTCCATTCCTCTCCCACCTCTCCTTGGACTTCTTTTGAGTTGAACATCACCAGGAATTTCTCCAACCTCTCCTTCTCTTCACTCCTCTCACTCCTCACAGGACTTCTCTTGACTTGACCATCCCCAGGAATGTTCTATACCTTGACTTCTCTCCACTTCTTTCTCACCTCTCCTGGGCTTCTCTTCAGTTGACCATCCCCAGGAATTTTCCATACCTCTACTTCTTTCCACTACTTTCCCACCTCTCCTGGAGTTCTTTTGAGTTGACTATCCCCAGGAATTCTCCATACCTCTCCATCTCTCCACTCCTCTCCCACCTCACAGGACTTCTCTTGACTTGACCATCTCCAGGAATTTTCTATACCTTGACTTCTCTCCACTCCTTTCTCACCTCTCCTGGACTTCTCTTCAGTTGACCATCCCCAGGTAGTTTCCATACCTCTACTTCTTTCCACTACTTTCCCACCTCTCCTGGACTTCTTTTGAGTTGACCATCCCCAGGAATTTCTCCAACCTCTCCCTCCTCACAGGACTTCTCTTGAGTTAACCATCCCCAGGAATTCTCCATACATCAACTTCTCTCTACTCCTCTCCCACCTCTCCTGGACTTCGCTCAATTTGACCATCCCCAGGAATTTTTCCAGCCTCTCCATTTCTCCACTCCTCTCCCACCTCACAGGACTTCTCTTGACTTGACCATCCCCAGGAATTTTCTATACCTTGACTTCTCTCCTCTCCTTTCTCACCTCTCCCAGACTTCTCTTCAGTTGACCATCCCCAGGTAGTTTCCATACCTCTACTTCTTTCCACTACTTTCCCACCTCTCCTGGACTTCTTTTGAGTTGACCATCCCCAGGAATTTCTCCAACCTCTCCCTCCTCACAGGACTTCTCTTCAGTTGACCATCCCCAGGAATTCTCCAAAGCTCTTTTTCTCTCTACTCCTCTAGGATTTGTCTTGACCATCCGCAGGAATTCTCCATACCTTGACTTCTTTCCACTACTTTCCTACCTCTCCTGGACTTCTCTTGTGTTGACCATCCCCAGGAATTCTCCCTACCTTTTTTTCTCTCCACTCCTCTCCTGGACATCTCTTGAGTTGACCATCCCTGGGAATTCTCCCAACCTCTCCTTCTCTCCACTCCTCTTCCACCTCACAGGACTTTTCTTGACTTGACCATCCCAAGGAATTCTCCATACCTCTCCTTCTCTCCACTCCTCTCCCACCTCTCCAGGACGTCTCTTGAGTTGACCATCCTCAGCCCACTTTGGCCTACCTTGGCACAGGCTTCTCTGGCATAGGCTGCTTCTTTAACGCCATGTCCCTTCTCGATGATCTCTCCCCCTCCTGCAGCCACTGTGCGGAATAGTAGGGTCTTTCGTACTGCTTCAGGGTTGCAACACGTCAACTCAGCGATATACTGGACCAGGTCCTCATCCTCCAGAACCACGCAGTCACTGTCCATCTCAAAACACAGATTGCCCTATGGAGGATGAATAGACAATGTAACACAATATAGACGAATAGGAGAATCTGATTTAAATCTGACCTCCGGCCTCCCCTTCAGTCTTGCACAGGTGCTCCTCTCCTGGATTGAAATGGCTTCCTCTGATTTCACTGCACACTGTGAGCTTCTCACAAAGTGCATTAGAAGCTGCAGCAAGTCAGGCAGAGCCTGCCTCATTTCTTGGCTGGAGAACATCCAGCATCATCTAGCTCTTTCCTCCCCTGGCCTTACCCAGGGAAGATCAGCATCACCTGTGTACATTATCTAGAATGGTCTGCATGTAAATGAAGCCTGCCTTGGAACACCCACTCCTCTATACTGACATTCACCCATCAAAGCACTAGGATATTTGCATAACTCCTCCCAAGAGTCAGCACATTAGGGTTGAGGGCTCTTGAGAGGAGCGTTGAGACAGGTGGGAGGGGCAAGCAGGGTGCTGCACATAGCTTCCTGGAAACATCACAGCATCCTGCTGGCCCCTCCCACCAGCCATGATCTGTCTGCATTGTATCAGCTCACAGTAAATTAAAGTGATGGTCAGTGGGAAGAATGTCCCTTACATTGGGGGTCAGTGGAAAGAATGTCCCTTACATTGGTGATCAATGGGAAGAATGTCCCTTACATTGGGGGTCAGTGGGAAGAATGTCCCTTACATTGGGGGTCAGTGGCAAGAATGTCCCTTACATTGGGGGTCAGTGGGAAGAATGTCCCTTACATTGGTGGTCAGTGGGAAGAATGTCCCTTACATTGGGGGTCAGTGGTAAGAATGTCCCTTACATTGGTGATCAGTGGGAAGAATGTCCCTTACATTGGGGGTCAGTGGGAAGAATGTCCCTTACATTGGAGGTCAGTGGCAAGAATGTCCCTTACATTGGGGGTCAGTGGGAAGAATGTCCCTTACATTGGGGGGTCAGTGGGAAGAATGTCCCTTACATTAGGGGTCAGCGGGAAGAATGTCCCTTACATTGGTGGTCATTGGGAAGAATGCTCCTTACATTGGTGATCAGTGGGAAGAATGTCCCTTACATTGGTGGTCACTGGGAAGAATGTCCCTTACATTGGGGGTCAGTGGGAAGAATGTCCCTTACATTGGTGGTCAGTGGAAAGAATGTCCCTTACATTGGTGGTCAGTGAGAAGACTGTCCCTTACATTGGTGGTCAGTGGGAAGAATGTCCCTTACATTAGGGGTCAGCGGGAAGAATGTCCCTTACATTGGTGATCAGTGGGAAGAATGTCCCTTACATTGGAGGTCAGTGGGAAGAATGTCCCTTACATTGGTGGTCAGTGGGAAGAATGTCCCTTACATTGGGGGTCAGTGGGAAGAATGTCCCTTACATTGGTGGTCAGTGGGAAGAATGTCCCTTACATTGGTGGTCAGTGGGAAGAATGTCCCTTACATTGGTGGTCAGTGGGAAGAATGTCCCTTACATTGGGGGTCAGTGGGAAGAATGTCCCTTACATTGGGGGTCAGTGAGAAGAATGTCCCTTACATTGGGGGTCAGTGGGAAGAATGTCCCTTACATTGGGGGTCAGTGGGAAGAATGTCTCTTACATTGGTGGTCAGTGGGAAGAATGTCCCTTACATTGGGGGTCAGTGGGAAGAATGTCCCTTTCATTGGTGGTTAGTGGGAAGAATGTCCCTTACATTGGAGGTAAGTGGAAAGAATGTCCCTTACATTGGGGGTCAGTGGGAAGAATGTCCCTTACATTGGTGGTCAGTGGGAAGAATGTCCCTTTCACTGGTGATCAGTGGGAAGAATGTCCCTTACATTGGTGGTCAGTAGGAGGAATGTCCCTTACATTGGTGATCAGTGGGAAGAATGTTTCTTACATTGGGGGTCAGTGGGAAGAATGTCCCTTACATTGGTGGTCAATGGGAAGAATGTCCCTTACATTGGTGGTCAGTGGGAAGAATGTCCCTTACATTAGGGGTCAGTGGGAAGAATGTCGCTTACATTGGGGGTCAGTGGGAAGAATGTCCCTTACATTGGGGGTCAATGGGAAGAATGTCCCTTACATTGGGGGTCATTGGGAAGAATGTCCCTTACATTGGTGGTCAGTGGGAAGAATGTCCCTTACATTGGGGGTCAGTGGGAAGAATGTCCCTTACATTGGTGGTCAGTGGGAAGAATGTCCCTTACATTGGTGGTCAGTGGGAAGAATGTCCCTTACATTGGGGGTCAGTGGGAAGAATGTCCCTTACATTGGGGGTCAGTGGGAAGAATGTCCCTTACATTGGGGGTCAGTGGGAAGAATGTCCCTTACATTGGTGGTCAGTGGGAAGAATGTCCCTTACATTGGTGGCCAGTGGGAAGAATCCCTCCTTACAGATAGCTTAAAAGATGATTGTTATTAGTGATTACTTACCTGCCTCATGGAACCCTGAACCCCTCCAGAGGAACCCTGGTTGGGAAGGTGTGCTCTAAGGACTTGTTTATATCAAAGCCTTTCTGAGATACTCCTTTCTTTCAGATGACATTTCAGAGCCGATATGATGCAGAGGAACAGCCAAGAGCCAAATATACAATTCAAATTCCACCAGATGGTCCCATCATGAGGACACCTTGCAGCTTTTCTTTTTTTTAAAAAAAATATCATTCAATATCTCACAGTTGTAGAGGGATGAAGCTGTGCCGTCGTTTCTTATAGGGACCGTGCCTCTCATAGCTGCTTGTTGGCTCTTTTTAATGGCTAAATAAATTTTCTGATTTTTATATTTTAATGTAATTTGGCTTTTCTGAACTTCTTCTCATTCATCCCATTTTTCTACCACCATCTTTAGGACTTCTCGTGTGCTGCTCCCTTTTTCCGGACCTCCCTTCCACATGCCATCTAACCCAAACACCTAAAATCTGTCAACTCTGTCCCAGCTGTCCCACTTCACAAGGCCAAACACAAAGCCTCAGTAACCCCTGCTCTGTAACGGGGTCATTGCCCACTATGGAGGCCTTCTCTTTTCATGTTTGTTACATGACATCATAATAACTGGAAGGTAGCGCCGGGACCCCATGATTCCTTTAGGGCTCATTTACAATTGCTTCAAAATGTGGCCCTGGACAGCCTTTTTTAAAGCTCTCCGAATGCCAATCAAAGCCCCTGCCACTACATAAAATGGTCGCCTTACAGTCCTGTTCATAAGTTGCGTGCGCTTTGCTTTACTTCAAAAATGATCCCCCCCATGTCACTTTCTTGGTGTCTCAAAGCGTCTCCAAGGTCTCCATAGAAGTCTATGACAAATCTCGCTAGCAGCACCTACAGCTTTTGAGGGGCTTTTTTTCAGAGTTAGCTTCACTTTGTTTTGGAGGGATTGCAGGTATGAGGTATCCCAGGATGCACTGGAAAACCAACAAGCGAACCAGAAAGACGTCATCAGGGACTGGAGAAAGAGGACTGAGCAGCAGAGGATAAGCAGGGCTGGGGGACCGAAGCAGGAGAAACTAGCAGATGTCACACAAGGTGCACAGAGTGGGAGAAATATAGAGGAAGGTGGGCAGGGACTGGAGAGAGAGGAGGATTAGCAAAGCAGAGGATCAGCAGAGCTGAGGGTACTGAGTGGGGAATCAGCAGAGCTGAGGGTTACTGCTGAGTGGGGGATCAGCAGAGCTGAGGGTTACTGCAGAGTGGGGGATCAGCAAAGCTGAGGCTTACTGCTGAGTGGGGGATCAGCAGAGCTGGAGGTTACTACTAAGTGGGGGATCAGCAGAGCTGAGTGTTACTAATGAGTGGGGAATCAGCAGAGCTGAGGGTTACTGCTGAGTGTGGGATCAGCAGAGCTGAGGGTTACTAATGAGTGGGGGATCAGCAGAACTGGGGGTTACTACTGAGTGGAGGGGTAAGCAGAACTGAAGGTTACTACTGAACGGGGATCAGCAGAGCTGAGGGTTACTACTGAGTGGGGGATCAGCAGAACTGGGGGGTTACTACTGAGTGGAGGGGTCAGCAGAACTGAAGGTTACTACTGAGCGGGGATCAATAGAGCTGAGGGTTACTAATGAACAGGGAATCAGCACAGCTTGAGGTTTACTACTGAGCAGCAGGGGATCAGAAAAGCTCAGGGTTACTAATGAGCGGGGGATCAGCAGAGCTGAGGGTTACTACTGAGTGGGGGATCAGCAGAGCTGAAGGTTACTACTGACTGGGGGATCAGCAGAGCTGAGGGTTACTACTGAGTGGGGGATCAGCAGAACTGGGGGTTACTACTGAGTGGAGGGGTCAGCAGAACTGAAGGTTACTACTGAGCGGGGATCAATAGAGCTGAGGGTTACTAATGAACAGGGAATCAGCACAGCTTGAGGTTTACTACTGAGCAGCAGGGGATCAGAAAAGCTCAGGGTTACTAATGAGCGGGGGATCAGCAGAGCTGAGGGTTACTACTGAGTGGGGGATCAGCAGAGCTGAAGGTTACTACTGACTAGGGGATCAGCAGAGCTGAGGGTTACTACTGAGTGGGGGATCAACAGAGCTGAGGGTTACTACAGAGCAGGGGATCAGAAAAGCTGAGGGTTACTAATGAGCGGGAGATCAGCAAAGCTGATGAGAGTTACTATGGAGCGGGTGGTCAGCAGAGCTGAGGGTTAATACAGAGCAGGAGATCAGAAAAGCTGAAGTTTACTAACGGGCGGGAGATCAGCGGAGCTGATGAGAATTACTACTGAGTGGGGAATCAGCAGAGCTGGGGGTTACTAATATTGCTGCTCATTTGCCGGGAATCTGCTGAACAGGGGTACTACTGAGCTGGGGTTCTACTGGGCACCTTTAAAACAGATAGAAAATCAACACACACGGGGCATTTGCCATACTTCATTAAAGCTTCAAAAAAAGCATGTTGAAGCGATAGGCGCCTTAACATGTGTTAAAGTCAAAGAAAATGAGCCCTTAAATAGAGAACTTATAGTGGCCGGGACCCTGTATGCTGGAGCTGCTGGACTGAAGTCATAAATGTCATCGGCAACATATGTGAATATTCGGGGCCACATACAAATTCTACAACAAATTTCTACAAATTCTACAACAAATTTCTACAAATTCTACAACAAATTTCTACCTATTCTACAGCAAATTTCTACAAATTCTACAACAAATTTCTACAAATTCTACAGCAAATGCCTACAAATTCTACAGCAAATTTCTACAAATTCTACAACCAATTTCTACAAATTCTACAACCAATTTCTACAAATTCTACAAAAAATTTCTACAAATTCTACAACACACTTCTACGAATTCTATAACACATTTCTACAAATTCTATAATCTATTTCTACAAATTCTACAACACATTTCTACAAATTCTACAGCAAATTTCTATGAATTCTACAACAAATTTCTACAAATTCTACAACCAATTTGTACAAATTCAATAGCAAATTTCTACAAATTCTACAACAAATTTCTACGAATTCTACAACAAATTCCTACAAATTCTACAGCAAATTTCTACAAATTCTACAACCAATTTCTACAAATTCTACAACAAATTTCTACAAATTCTACAACACATTTCTACAAATTCTACAACAAATTTCTACAAATTCTACAACCTATTTCTACAAATTCTACAGCAAATTTCTACAAATTCTACAACAAATTTCTACAAATTCTACAACCATACACCCTATGACTCTATCTCTCCACATTCCCTCTGTGGACTCAAGTCACAGAACCATAGAAGGGGCCCTCACCAGGTGTAGGATGGCAGCCAGGATCTTGTACATGGAGAATTTCTACAAATTCTACAACCAATTTGTACAAATTCTACAACAAATTTCTATAAATTCTACAACAAATTTCTACAAATTCTACAACCATACACCCTATGACTCTATCTCTCCACGTTCTCTCTGTGGACTCAGGTCACAGAACCTTAGAAGGGGCCCTCACCAGGTGTAGGATGGAAGCCAGGATCTTGTACACGGAGAATTTCTACAAATTCTACAACCAATTTGTACAAATTCTACAACAAATTTCTACAAATTCTACAGCAAATTCCTACAAATTCTGCAGCAAATTTCTACAAATTCTACAACCAATTTCTACAAATTCTACAAAAATTTTTTACAAATTCTACAAAATATTTCTACAAATTCTACAACACACTTCTACGAATTCTACAACACATTTCTACAAATTCTATAATCTATTTCTACAAATTCTACAACACATTTCTACATATTCTACAGCAAATTTCTATGAATTCTACAACAAATTTCTACAAATTCTACAAACAATTTCTACAAATTCAATAGCAAATTTCTACAAATTCTACAACAAATTTCTACGAATTCTACAACAAATTCCTACAAATTCTACAGCAAATTTCTACAAATTCTACAACAAATTTCTACAAATTCTACAACCTATTTCTACAAATTCTACAGCAAATTTCTACAAATTCTACAACAAATTTCTACAAATTCTACAACCATACACCCTATGACTCTATCTCTCCACATTCCCTCTGTGGACTCAAGTCACAGAACCATAGAAGGGGCCCTCACCAGGTGTAGGATGGCAGCCAGGATCTTGTACATGGAGAATTTCTACAAATTCTACAACCAATTTGTACAAATTCTACAACAAATTTCTATGAATTCTACAACAAATTTCTACAAATTCTACAACAAATTTCTACAAATTCTACAACAAATTTCTACAAATTCTACAACACATTTCTACAAATTCTACAACACATTTCTACAAATTCTACAACCTATTTCTACAAATTCTACAGCAAATTTCTACAAATTCTACAACAAATTTCTACAAATTCTACAACCATACACCCTATGACTCTATCTCTCCACGTTCTCTCTGTGGACTCAGGTCACAGAACCTTAGAAGGGGCCCTCACCAGGTGTAGGATGGAAGCCAGGATCTTGTACACGGAGAATTTCTACAAATTCTACAACCAATTTGTACAAATTCTACAACAAATTTCTACAAATTCTACAGCAAATTCCTACAAATTCTGCAGCAAATTTCTACAAATTCTACAACCAATTTCTACAAATTCTACAAAAAATTTCTACAAATTCTACAAAATATTTCTACAAATTCTACAACACACTTCTACGAATTCTACAACACATTTCTACAAATTCTATAATCTATTTCTACAAATTCTACAACACATTTCTACAAATTCTACAGCAAAGTTCTACGAATTCTACAACAAATTTCTACAAATTCTACAAAAAATTTCTACAAATTCAATAGCAAATTTCTACAAATTCTACAACAAATTTTGACGAATTCTACAACAAATTCATACAAATTCTACAGCAAATTTTCTACAAATTCTACAAAAAATTTCTACAAATTCAATAGCAAATTTCTACAAATTCTACAACAAATTTTGACGAATTCTACAACAAATTCCTACAAATTCTACAGCAAATTTCTACAAATCCTACAACAAATTTCTACAAATTCTACAATCTATTTCTACAAATTCTACAGCAAATTTCTACAAATTCTACCACAAATTTCTACAAATTCTACAACCATACACCCTATATTTCTCCATGTTCTCTCTGTGGACTCAGAACCTTAGAAGGGGCCCTCACCAGGTGTAGAATGGCAGCCAGGATCTTGTACACGGAGTCCACCTCCTCCTCGGTGAAGCCGATCACCTTCATGGAATCCAACACCATCTTGTAGCTCGATTTATCATTGATGACACTCTGGCAACAGACAAAGACATGTTATGTTGGGTGAGGACTCTGTCCTTGAATGCGGCTGCATGGTCCCACGGGTGGGAATAAAGCTCACCTGCTAAGGGTCTGGGACTGGCCTTAAGGGGCTTAAATCAGGCAGTAGAGATACCTACATATACCTACTTTTTTTTATCTTCTTGGAGAGCAGGGGTCTCCAATTTTTCTAAACAAAGGGCCAGTTTACTGTCCTTCAGGGTTTTGGGGGGTCAGACTGTGGTCATCGGGATCAGAAATTGTTCTGGCATCAGTGGGAGTAAACAGTGCATCTTTGGTATTAGGGGGAGGAATAGTGCCCCATCATTGGTGCCAGTGGAAGGAATAGTGCTTTATCATTGGTGTCAGTGGGAGGAATAGTGCCCCATCATTGGTGTCAGTGGAAGGAATAGTGCTCTATCATTGATGTCAGTGGGAGGAATAGTGCTTTATTGTTGGTGTCAGTGGGAGGTATAGTGCCCCATTGTTGGCGTCAGTGGGAGGAATAGTGCTCCATGATTGGTGTCAATGGGAGGAATTGAGCCTCATCATTGGTGTCAGTGGGAGGAAAAGTACTTCATCGTTGGTGTCAATGAGAGGAATAGTGCCTGGTTGTTGATTTCAGTAGCAGGAATTATGCCTCTCTGTTGGTATCAGTGGGAAGAAAAGTGCCCCAGGGGCCAGATAAAATCGAGCAAAGGGCCACAGCCGGACCCCCGGCCGCAGTTTGGAGACCACTGTTCTAGAGAACCATCTCTGGAGCTGGAATCATATATCTGTATGCTGAGGTTTAGGGCCTCCTGGGAGCATCATGATGATGAACACCCTGATCTATTAATGTGGTATTACTAGGAAATAGAGCTACTTACCCACCAACCAGGTTCAATCCGGCCCAGGAAGCTTCGACCTGATTCATGATTATGGGGAATGACTCTAGATTGATACATTGATAGGTTGGACCCAGAGTGAGGTATGTGTAGGCCCCTCTATATGGGCCTCCTTGCATCCCCTTGAGTCAGTTTCATACTTTTACATACATGAGGCAAGCTAAATTTGGAGAGTCATCAGAGGCAGATCCTAAGGCGAATACAGAGCACAAGAATAAACCTAGCACCCTTTGGTTGTCATGTAAGCCAACTCCATTGGTGGGATTGTCACAGCTCTTCTACGGGTACCACCAGGGCTTTTTTAGTACAGAATAGGTGCAGGTGACACTGCCCCCCCCCCTTCCCAAGTCACCCTTGTCTCCACCCCTTACCCACCTATCTGAACCCATGATCTCTTGCTACATCCAGCAGCGGCTTTTCTTGCTGAACCACCTGAGATGCTGGACAGGATTCTGTCTGGTTCCTTGGACAATCTTGCCTTGAACCTTGTTTCTGGTGAACCTTGAACCCCTTGCTGCTCCCATGAACTTCCTATTAAAGCCATGCCTTTGGACTTGCTGTTTGCCGGATTATTGTGCTCCCTCCAGCCAATATCTTGCCCCTTTGCATACCTGCAGCTGTCCGTATCTCCACTGCCACTCGTTACCAATCTTTGGCTTGTTCTTCAACTACGTTTCTACTTGACCCCAACCTGCAACTGTTTGTTACCGACCTTTGGCTTGTTCCTCAACTATGCTTCTACTTGATCCCAACCTGCAACCGCTTGTTACCGACCTTTGGGTTGTTCCTCAACTATGCTTCTTCTTGATCCCAACCTGTAACCTCATGTTACCGACCTTTGGCTTGTTCCTCAACTACGCTTCTACTTGATCCCAACCTGCAACCGTTTGTTATTGACCTTTGGCTCGTTCCTCAACTACGCTTCTACTTGATCCCAACCTGCAACCACATGTTACCGACCTTTGGCTTGTTCCTCATCTACGCTTCTACTTGATCCCAACCTGCAACCGCTTGTTACCGACCTTTGGGTTGTTCCTCAACTATGCTTCTTCTTGATCCCAACCTGTAACCTCATGTTACCGACCTTTGGCTTGTTCCTCAACTACGTTTCTACTTGACCACAACCTGCAACTGTTTGTTACCGACCTTTGGCTTGTTCCTCAACTACGCTTCTACTTGATCCCAACCTGCAACCGTTTGTTACCGACCTTTGGCTTGTTCCTCAACTATGCTTCTACTTGATCCCAACCTGCAACCGCTTGTTACCGACCTTTGAGTTGTTCCTCAACTACGCTTCTACTTGATCCCAACCTGCAACCGCTTGTTACCGACCTTTGGGTTGTTCCTCAACTATGCTTCTTCTTGATCCCAACCTGTAACCTCATGTTACCGACCTTTGGCTCGTTCCTCAACTACGCTTCTACTTGATCCCAACCTGCAACCACATGTTACCGACCTTTGGCTTGTTCCTCATCTACGCTTCTACTTGATCCCAACCTGCAACCGCTTGTTACCGACCTTTGGGTTGTTCCTCAACTATGCTTCTTCTTGATCCCAACCTGTAACCTCATGTTACCGACCTTTGGCTTGTTCCTCAACTACGCTTCTACTTGATCCCAACCTGCAACCGTTTGTTATCGACCTTTGGCTCGTTCTTCAACTACGCTTCTACTTGATCCCAACCTGCAACCACATGTTACCGACCTTTGGCTTGTTCCTCATCTACGTTTCTACTTGATCCCAACCTGCAACCGCTTGTTACCGACCTTTGGCTTGTTCCTCATCTACGCTTCTACTTGATCCCAACCTGCAACCGCTTGTTACCGACCTTTGGCTTGTTCCTCAACTACGCTTCTACTTGATCCCAACCTGCAACCGCTTGTTACCGACCTTTGGCTTGTTCCTCAACTACGCTTCTACTTGATCCCAACCTGCAACCGCTTGTTACCGACCTTTGGCTTGTTTACAGACTACACTTCTGCTTGATCCCTACCTGCTATATCTGCTACTGGACTTGCTCACCTCCTGGTGGACCTATCCTGAGGATTGCAGCGTGGTAATAAGAGGCAGCAAAACCCATCCCCACCACCAGTAGCTCTGGTAAACACCTGTTAGTGCCTAGACTCGGGTGAGCCGGCATCCTCCGCCAGGGTGACCTGCTTGTGTACCTTTACTGCTGCTCGGTGGGAGTCTGTCTACTGCTATAGCTACTGGTCTGACTCCTGACTGTGACACTGTCTCCACCCACTACCCACCTGCCAGTACCGCCCCTTTTAGAGAATACATGACCAAGTCACATTTTGTGGTTCTATGGAATGTGTTAATAATAACAAGAAAGGCAGTAAATTTTCTACATCACACATCCAAGGTGGCAGATCACGGGATCTCGCCCATGCAGAGAAACAGCACAGGATGTCTACCAGTTCACTGGCAGCGGTTTCTCAGTGTGTCTGCACATTCGCAAGGGGTCCGGCGCATGCGCAAACATGCAGCGGGACCTGTAAGGTCCCCTAGACATGGCCTAGATCAAGGGTGTCAAACTGGCGGCCCTCCAGCTGTTGCCAAACTACAAGTCCCATCATGCCTCTACCTTACATGCTTGTAACTGTCAATCCTGGGCCTTGTAGTTTAGCAACAGCTGGAGGGCCACCAGATTGACACCCGTGGCCTAGATCCTTGCGGCGTGTCTTTGCTGAAATTCAAGATGGCGGCAGGGAGACAGGAGTAGTGCAGGGAGAGCTTCCCCTACAAGCAAGACAACGTTGGACTCCATGGACTAGAATCAGGGGTCTCTAGACTATGGCCCTCCAGGTGTTGAGGAACTGCAAGTCCCATGAGGCTTTGCAAGACTCTGAGAGCCACAGGCAAGACTGTGGGGTCCTCTCAGTGTATGAGGAGTGGTCACTGTGGGGTCCTCTCTGTGTGTGAGGCGCGGGCACTGTGGGGTCTTCTCTGTGTATGAGGAGCGGTGGCTGTGGGGTGTGTTCTGTGTATGAGGAGTGGTCACTGTGTGGTCTTCTCTGTGTATGAGGAGCGGTCACTGTGGGGTCTTCTCTGTATATGAGGAGCGGTGACTGTGCGGTCTTCTCTATATGTATGAGGAGCGGTCACTGTGGGGTTCTCTCTGTGTATGAGGAGTGGTGACTGTGCGGTCTTCTCTATGTATGAGGAGTGGTGGCGGTGGGGTTCTCTCTATGTATGAGGAGCGGTGACTATGCGGTCTTCTCTATGTATGAGGAGTGGTGGCGGTGGGGTTCTCTCTATGTATGAGGAGCGGTGACTATGCAGTCTTCTCTATGTATGAGGAGCGGTGGCGGTGGGGTTCTCTCTATGTATGAGGAGCGGTGACTATGCGGTCTTCTCTATGTATGAGGAGTGGTGTCAGTGGGGTTCTCTCTATGTATGAGGAGCAGTCACTGTGGGGTCCTCTCAGTGTATGAGGAGTGGTGACTGTGGGGTCTTCTCTGTCTATGAGGAGTGGTGACTGTGGGGTCTTTTCTGTGTATGAGGATTGATCACTGTAGGGTCGTTTTTGTGTATGAGGAGCAGTGGCTGTGGGGTCTTCTCTGTGTATGAGGAGCGGTGGCTGTGGGATCCTCTCTGGGTATGAGGAGCGGTGGCTGTGGGGTCTTCTCTGTGTATAAGGAGCGGTGGCTGTGGGATCCTCTCTGTGTATGAGGAGCGGTGGCTGTGGGATCCTCTCTGTGTATGAGGAGCGGTGGCTGTGGGATCCTCTCTGTGTATGAGGAGTGGTGGCTGTGGGATCCTCTCTGTGTATGAGGAGCGGTGGCTGTGGGGTCCTGTCAGTGTATGAGGAGCGGTGGCTGTGGGATCCTCTCTGTGTATGAGGAGCGGTGGCTGTGGGATCCTCTCTGTGTATGAGGAGCGGTGGCTGTGGGTTCCTCTCTGTGTATGAGGAGCGGTGGCTGTGGGATCCTCTCTGTGTATGAGGAGCGGTGGCTGTGGGGTCCTGTCAGTGTATGAGGAGCGGTGACTGTGGGATCCTCTCTGTGTATGAGGAGCGGTGGCTGTGGGGTCCTGTCAGTGTATGAGGAGCGGTGGCTGTGGGATCCTCTC